GTGTGTGTGTGTGTGTGTGTGTGTTATATTATATACATATTTATATATATGTTGTATATATAGGCTAATATATATGTATACATATACATGGGAATAATGGAAAACTATCTCTCTACATACACACAGTCGAAAACACACACACATACACACTCACACACACACATATACATACACACACAGACACAGACACACACACACACACACACACACACACACACATATATATATATATATATATATATATATATATATATATATATATATATATATATATATGTATATATATATATATATATATATATATATATATATATATATATATATATATATATGTATATATATACATATATATAAACATATAAATGTGTGTGTGTGTGTGTCTATACATAGAGAGGTAGAGAAAGAGAGAGAGTGAGAAGAAGATAGACATAAACAGATAGAGAAAGATAGACAAACAAGCATACATGCAGACAACCAAACAGACAAGCAGGCAGACAGACAGAAAGACAATGAAAGAGAGACAGAGACAAAGAGAGGGAGAGAGGAAAGGGGGGAAGATCTCAAACCATTTACGAATCTTATGGGACGGTAAAGTTAAGATATACCAGTAAAAATGTTACATTAAACTACACGATTTTTTTCTTCTCTTTTTTTTCTCTTTCTTATAGAACAGAACGTTGCCTTTTTAAGCACTTTTTTGAACTAATAATTTCAAACACAAAAGCAAAATTGTGGTATGTCCATGTCTTATGTTTAGGGAGCAATTTAGTTAACTCGTAATTCTGTCGGAAGCCAAGTTTCTTGTGATGTTTCTTACTGCTCTTTCTCACTTTCTGTCTGTCTGTGTCTCTCTCTTTCTCTCTCCCTCTTTCTCTGTTTCTGTTACACTCTCTCCCTCTCATTCTCTCCTCACCCTTTTTCACTCTACCTTTTTTCCATCCCTCTCTTCTCTTCGGATCTCCTTCTTTTTCCCTGCTTACCAGACAAGTTCCCCTTTCTCTACACGTTCTTAAATCACCCTGTAGATTTCTTTCAAGCCAGTCATCTTCTTGTAATCATTAGCGTTTTGTGATTTATTGTTAATCATAATGCAGCATGATAATTTACTTTTATTATAGTTGAGATCATTATAATTTCATGGATAAATATTACTGTAGAGAACAGCATAGGTAACATATATATCTTAATGATAAGGATCATAATGATTATCATTCGTTTTGATGCTGGTCTTAATATTTACATTCTTTTTGATAGTTAATTTCTTTATCAGCAATATCATTATCATACTGATGTTATGATTGCTACAGATTTTTCTACTGGCGAAAATTCGCCTTCTTCGTCCCGTGGTTAGTTGGTTAATTGTACACCTGATCTCTTCGATTTTCGTGTGCGTGTGTGTCTGTGCAAATTTTGTAAATCCATTCTCTTTTTTCTTCTGACTGATATGGAAGCTTCGTAAGGCAGATACTTTTTGTGTGTGTGACTGATGTCCCTTCCTTCCTGTATTTTTTTTGCGACTGCGCATTTCTACAGTTCCCTTCCTTCCTTTCACCAACTACGAGAGGATCGCTTTTGATACCCAGGGGCATAGCAATACGAATAAATCTTTAGCAACTATTTTCTGTATGGTTGTGATATAGTGCTCATGTCTTTGGGGGTTGTACATCTGTGTAAATACCCGAAATTCACCTTCTCAATTAGCGCTATCTGTTGATCCCAAATTTTGGATTATTAAAGCAGAGACGAAGTTAGCTGTAGCAGTTATATGGTTTGCTCAAAGGTTCCACTGATTCCGGCCCTCTACAGTCATAAACATAATCCCCGTGGAACTACTGGGTTCTTTCGGAAGCAAAAGGAGATGGTCCCCTGCAGTTTTGTCGGTTAAGTTGACTTCATCTTACTGGGTTTCTTAATGTTTTTTTTTTTTTTGGGGGGGGTAGCATTTTTTTTTTACTTTTATTATTATTAATTTCGGTTTTAGTTACACAAGCAGGGTCTCAAATGAAGGCATGGAAGGAGTCCTCTATGGATAAGGTGATCTTATTTGGCATTCAGCTATTGATGGGCCTGCAGCCGCATCCACAGATAAGCGACTAGTTTCGTGATGCTCAGTTGGGGTCGAGGCCCTTTCCAGGTACCTCAATTTCTGGGACAATGACGACGATTGTGCGTGTGGACCAGCTTCAGCTAGTCATCGCTTCCTTGTTTCACTAGTCCTTGTTGGTAGATATCACCCACAAGAGCGTCTGTGCTTTCCGATATGTTAACCTTTTGGAACAGGCCAGACATGGCTTGCAGGTATAAAAGCTGTTTTTCAGTAAGGTTGCTGTGGCTAGTTACACCTCCACCTGCCAGATATACTGACTCGTTTCCACCTACGAGGGTCCCTCATGGTGAGGCAGGGGCTTGGCCTGTCTCTAAGACTACTTCCTAGGTTGTCCTTCAGGCTTCCTCCACCCAGGGTGGTTTCGAACAGAGATAACCTAGTGAGCAGGATCATCCTGTGGGAAACGTTAACGATCATGGATTGTGTAACAGGTGCTGTACCAGTTTCGCAGTGTAATCATTGGTTGAACACATGGTTCTGCCAACTGTCACAGTCTTCCTTCAATACATTTTTCAGTGTATATGTGGGAGACAAGTGCATACGTCTTTGGTCTGAGAATGTTGCACATCTTTCCATTGCATGTGCGACTGTTAATGGCTATTGGCACAGTTTGCTTCACTTTTAGCCATCATCGACACATGAGTTAGTCTTGTGTGCCCAATTCTTAGTCTTATTAATACAACTTCTACTTGTCGGTTGGGATGGATGCCAGTCACCCAACTACCAAGGTCATCGCTAATTTCTCGAAGTTTGTTTCTAGAGGTATGCCTCCATTTTCCCCTCCATTTATCACAAAGACAACTCCTGATACTGGGCTTCAAGTCAGTGTGTGGGAGAGGAAAACAAACATCACGGGGCTGAGTGGCAGCTGCCTTGGCCTTCTGATAAGCTCGCTCATTCCCACTGATACCAACATGCACTGGCACCCAACACACAGTTATCTTTTTACGTTTTGACATTAGTGCAAGCCTATTTTGAACTTCCCTCACCACTGGATATAATGAGTTTATATTCCTGATTGCTTGTAAGGCACTATGAATCCCAATATATTACATTAGAATGGTTCGTAAGATCTCTGATCATCTTGACTGATGCAAGGATGACAAGTAACTCTGCAGTGAAGATCGAGACTGCTAGACAGACTACCCTTCTGCTCACTGCTACAAAGCCCAAACCATTTTCAGATTTTGAACCATCTACATATATTGCATATGATCCTTGGTACTTAGAAGTGTGTTGAAGAAATCTCTACCCTTTCTCAATTCCGAACAAATCCAGCGTAATTTGATTGGTCCAAGGGGGGAATAGGGGAGTTCCAGCAGCCAGAACTTTAATGAGATTTATATTAGAATGTTCCACATGATTCCTCATTCTCCTACCATAGGATCGGCTATCCTCAAGGGGGTTGAAAACCATTCTGGATGTAGGAGATCCCGGAATCCTTTGTAATCTCATGTAGTACATAAGGTTCATGTAATCCCGGTGTAATGAAAGAGGTGGTTCTCCACTCTTAGCATACAGGGACTCCACAAGCAAAGACCTGAGAGCCACTGTACAGATTCTGAGAGCTTCCTTATGATCTGAGTCCAACATCTGGAGAACAGTGGGAGTTGCAGATGAATAAGCCTCACATCCATAGTCAAGTTTACCATGAATAAGCACTCGGTAAAGCCGCAGAAGCATTGTGCGTTCTGCATCCAAAGATAAATGTGAACGAACCCACTAAATACTAAGCACTTGTAGCTTTCACCTTTAATTGTTTGATGCGAGGCACCCATATAAGCCTTGAGTCAAAAATTAGACCCAAGTACTTCACCTCTTGGACAAAATGTAGTGGGTTTGCTCCTAAATAGAGGGAGGGATGGAACTTTCCTCGTTTGTGGAAATGCATAGCCATGGTCTTGCTTGGAGAATATTTGAGCCCATGGTATGTTGTCAATGCACAAGCTTCCTCCTGAGCAGTACAGTGTAAAGTCATCCACATACAGATTACATGTGACAGCATTTGGAATGACCTTATAGCAGTGGCAAACAGGGTTACACTTAAGACTTCCAGCTGATCTTCGTTGTTAGAGAAACTGTTTCCCACCCTCACTCTAAACTTACCGTCAGCAAAGAAGTTTTGTATGACGGTAGGTAATGCTCCTCATAAACCACTATCATAGAGCTTCATGAGTATGCCATGCTTCCAAGTAGCACCGTGAGCTTTTTCAAGGTCAAATAAGACTACTAACATGTAACATCGCTGTCCTTTTCTAGCTGACATGTCAACTTGAAGCTTACTGTTTCCTCTATTAACTTGCAAATGCAGCTGGTGAGAAAAATTGGTAAAAAAAAATCCCTGATGTGGAAGCATCCTTGCCAGGTTTAGGGACAAGAATGGCTATAGCCTCTTTCCATGTGGATGGCACTGTGCCCTCCTTATTCTATTGAATAGGTCCAAGAGGAACTTTTGGGAGCTCTCTGGTAAGTGAGATATCATTGGTATGGAATATTGTCACTTTCTGGGGCAGTCTTGCGGCAGAGCTGCAAAGAGTCCAACTCCTTGCACAAAAATGGGAAGTTCTGCTGCAGTCTAGTGAAGAATAACATTGGGTGTCGTTCCTGTTCAGCTCAAAGAATGGAGAATTGGACAGTGTAAAACGCTCCAGAGATCTCTGCCGTGGACTTAGCTAGCTTATTTGCAACATCTGTTTTGTCTGTGAGGATTATGCCATCCATCTTCAGAGTAGGTGGTGCAATGGATGTGCTCTTTCCAGTGATCTTACACACCTTGTCCCATACCCATGCTAAGGGGCCCTAGAGTTAATCAAGGATCCATACTGTCTCCATGACATCCATCTAGCCTCCTTTAGCACTCGATTGGCCTGGGCTCGTTTATTATTATTATTACCATTTTTTTTTTTTTTTTATGTATCATGGATCAAGGTTACATTGCTGGGATGTTCAAGTCGCCATCTCCACACTCCACCTCTTCCAAAATTATTAGAAAGTGGTCGCTTCCATGTAATTCTTCCATAATCTGCCAAGTGAAATTCAACTGTGAATCAGGCTAACCAATTGAGAGGTCAATATTAGAATATGTCCCAGTTTGAATTTGGAAATGTGTCGGTGGTCACTGTTCAGTAAAACCGCATCTACTCTTGATAACAAAGACTCCAAGGCCCTTCGTCGAGGGTTGCACAAAGTGTCTCCCCAGAGGTGATGCCATCCATTGAAATCTCCCAAGAGGAGAAATGGATGAGGCAACTGCCCAAGTAGATCTTCCAAATCATCTATGTTGACATTTTATGGAGGAAGGTAGATGGATACAACAATGTAAGGTCATGTCAAGCCTATTCTCACAGCCTTCACCTGCAGTGTCATTTGCAGGTGGATGGCCTGGAAGGGAATATCCTGATGTACCATCACTGCTACTCCTCCATGAGATCCATTATCAAATGGGCTTGAACTTGGAATTCTCTCAGGGAAATCAGACAATAATCTCTTGTAGGCATACACAAACTACACACATTCACCAAGGAAATTGCATTTTCGCAACCATTTTCCTCTTTTAATCCACTATAGTTAGGAAATCTATGACAATATTTTTTTATCGTACAAAGGAAATGGAAATACCAATATTATCATTGGTACTCGAATTGTTCTGGACAGAAAACAGGTGGGGATGCAGGTGGTCAACTGCTCTTAGCAAAAAAACAACAACAAAAAATGGAAGTTGATTAGAAACCTTGTGTTAGATTATTCGGCCAAACAGCTCTCTTCTCTCTGCTTTCACGGAAAACAGAAAGAGCAGCCTCCGGCAGTGTCTAGAGCAGTTATATTTGCAAAAGGTTTGAGGGAATTGTCAAGGGCTGGAGGGGCGCCTTGACGGATGGTCCGAGCTTTGTTTTTTTTTTTGAGATGAGTTGACTTTCCCTTATTTCCTGCACGATCAGTTAGAAATGTAATATGATGATTAATGAAACCATTGCTTGTTTTGTGTTCCCAAGGGAAAATCTAAATCATCTTTTATGTGTAAACCGTTGATACTGGTGGGAGAAGGTCGCGAGTACTTAGGCAATCCAGAAGTTTTCAGGATGGTTTTTCCTTTCTTTACTCATGAGTTATATGTAAAATGGTTAGTTAGAATTATAAAGAGAAATGTAAAAATTTAGTTTAATTGCTTTGTCGTTCACTTCATAATCATGGAAAACTCTGTTTCCCAAGTTTTAATAAAATATAATATTTCTATGTAATTAACCAATTTCTCTCCTCTACACCATATCACTGGGAAGTGTGTATAAATTGTAAGTGGGGACAGCTACCAAAACTTAGGAATTAATTAATTTGTTTCATCTTTTCTTTGCAAGAAAGTGAAATTAAATAAATTTAGAAGTTATCTATTATTTATTTTCAATCTAATTTCTCTATTTTACTTTAGTTGCAAGTGTAGACCCCAGTAGGGCAACATGTGTGCCTAATAAAACTCAGAACCACTAATCCAGAGTCTCGGTACTAACATACGCCATCAACTCGTATTAAAGGGTATAGGTTCACAGAGATCAAAATATACAGCCACACAAATGTTGTAACATGCAGAGCTGACACATTTATGTAGACTTTTCCTAGAAATACGAAACACCTTTAAAATCCTAAAACATAAGGAGCATGGAAATAGAATATAATTTAAGCCTATTTTTGCTGCCGGTATATATACACAAGCAACTCACACTTTTCCAGAAATAGGAATTTGTTTTTTTTTCCCAAGACTCTTTTACTCATGTGCCAAGAAAATCAGTACTCTTCTGACAGACTACACAGGATGAAACTTACATCCTTCACTAAAATCAGAAACTACAGTTCAAAGAGAACATTGGGAGCACTTTGACTCCCCACTCCACAGAAAGGCATGTGTCATATCCTCGACACACAAGATCATGCTCACTGTCTTTTGGGACCAGTATGGAGTAGTGACAATGCCGCTGATCACACTCTCATATTGCCCAGATGGAAGTGCTGTCCTGTGGCTACAACATCCTTCCTCATCCTTATTCTCCAGACCTTGCATCTCTTGCTGTCTCCAAGATGATGAGACACTGATTTCTTAAGTCATTTCATGACTTTAAACACAACCTGCGGATTTTTACAAATCCCTCTGTAACAGAAAACATGAAATCAACACATGATTCAAGAGAGATGTGTATCATTATACATGTGAAACTGTCAACTTTCTACCATTACTGCTATTGCTTGTGCTACCACTACTGCTCATACTCGTGCTACCACTACTGCTGTTGCACCTGCTATCATTACTACTATTTCTCATGCTACCATTACTGCTATTGCTCGTGCTACTACTTTTGCTACTGCTCGTCCTACATTTACTGCTATTGCTCATGCTGCCACTACTA